GGTTCAGGGTTTAGGGGCTCAGGGTTCAGGGTTTAGGGGTTCAGGGTTTAGGGTTTAGGGGTTTAGGGGGGTTCAGGGTTTAGGGGTTCAAGGTTTAGGGTTCAGGGGTTTAGGGTTTAGGGTGTAGGGGTTCAGTTCAGGGTTTAGGGTTTAGGTGTTTAGGGGTTTACTGGTTTAGGGTTGAGGGGTTCAGGGTTTCTTCCCGAAAGGTTTTTTGGGTACACCTTACGGGGGTTTGGGTTACGGTTACGGTAACTCATACAGAATGAATACATAAGTCACGTAAGTCATGCTAACCTACGCCCTAAGACTACCGCAGACTCCCGTGCTAACCCTTTTGGACTCTTCCCAGCGCCCTGAAGCCTGACCTATAAATCCTTGCAATGCAGTCGTAAAGGAGCCGATCAAAGAACCCTATCAGTGGAACCCTAAACCCTAAACCCCTAAACCCCTAAACCCCTAAACCCTAAACCCCTAAACCCTAAACCCTGAACCCTAAACCCCTGGGAACCCCGACCAGGCGATGTCCGAGGGTGCTGAAACCCTCATGAAAACCCCTAAACCATAAACCCTCAAGCCCTAAACCCTAGACCCCTAAACCCTAAACCGTAAACCCTGAACCCTGAACCCCAAAAAAACCGGACCGTTAAGACGAGGCTGGGGTCGGTGGCACGGCGCCTTCTTCCGGGACGTGCGGATCCCCAGCAAGGCTTTGCCGGTTTGGGGTGTTAGGGTTTAGGGTGTAGGGTTTAGGGGTTCAGGGTTTAGGGTTTAGGGTTTAGGGTTCAAGGTTTGGGGTTTAGGGTTTAGGGTTTTAGGGTTTAGGGTGTCAGTCTTTGGGACGTTTTGGGGCTCTGTAGATCATACGGGTTGAGGGCGTTTCGTGTTCCTGGTCTTGGGTATTTTGTGGTAAAGGGTTATAGAGTCATATAAGTTAATGGTGAGTTCACCTTAATATGCCACCTCAATTAGAATGACCCGAGTCCCGAAACTCAATTGTCAACCACCCCCCCTAAACCCTAAACCATAAACCCTAAACCCTAACAAAAACAATCCGTATTGCAGCCCTCCCCCAGCCCCAACCAGACTTAGCGAGCGTACTAGTACCGGAACTCCCCTGCCCCTCAATAGTCATTCATCCCTGCCGAGGCCTGAGTCAGGGGTCGGGTATTTACAGGAGCTCCACAGTGTAGAATAGAGTAACTTTGGGTTTAGGATCTGCGGCTGAATGCACTGAGGAGCTATCCATCTGTTCCGCCTCGCGTTTGGCCATGGTTTAAGTTGAGTTCGTCAACCCAAACTGCTGAGGTCTGCTGGCAAAAACTCATGCCCCCAAAGCATCCACACATTGTCAAAGGCCCTTACCCTCTTCTTGTCTAGAGCCTAGGCTTGGGAATGGGTGGCAGGGCACCCATAGTTTAGCATTGACCGCGCCTTCATCTCCTGCAGCAATGCCCCCTTGACACAGAAACCAGGGTCTACACTGTGGAAAATGTCAGGAATAGTTTGAATCAGTGATCTTGCGAAGCAGGGCTTATTGTAAAGCCAAATCGAGAAGGGCTGTTTGTACGGTAAATTGCCTTGCTGCTTTTACGAATGCCGTGTACCAGCAGCACCTGCAGCTGTAGCAGGCGCACAAACCTTAGACACAATATCGGTGGTTGTGGTGGTGGTGGTGGTGGCAGGAATAGTGGCAGGGGCAATTAGCAGTAGCAGTCAGCGTAGCAGTCGTAGAAGAGGTAGCAGCAGCAGGAGGAGTAGTAGTAGTAGCAGCAGCAGTAGCAGGAGCAGTGGTGGTGGGAGTAGTCGTAGTAGTAGCAGTAGTAGTAGTAGCAGCAGTAGTAGCAGTAGTGGTAGTACAACTATCGCAGGTTTTAGTCTCCACCCTATTCCACCCTGAAATCTTTTGCAGTGAGGGTCTTGCTAAATTCCTTCCTTGTCCCTGTTGTTGTTCGGCAAGGGCGGCTTCAGCTGGCATTGGCAAGCCTGCGTGAGGCAAAAAGAGATGGCATGCTTCTGGAACTGTCGGCCATGCGGGTTTCAGGTTTGGGAAATGAAGGTTCGTCCGGTTTGGGTGTTGGTTTTTGGCTGGTCACGAAGAGGAGGGCCCCAATTTGTCGGGCTGAGAGATTCCATCCAGTGTTTATGGTATTATCTTCTTTTCCGGTGGCGAGAGTGACCTTTTTTGATTTGGTACTTGCGAGGGGCTGTGAGACTTTGTCGGTTCAGGAACACAGTAGCTAGGAGGCATGGACAGCCGTCGGAGTGCGTTGCGAGGAGCAAAGAATCGGGGCCCGGGCGTTCAGGCCTTGACAGTTCATACTTCGTCTCCACGATGTGAGATGTGTTCAGGTCTTTGCTGCTGTAGGCGTTCCGCCTGCGCAGGTCCCTCGATCACCTTCGTCCCTGGCCCCGAAGCCCGAAACCGTCGCCCTCAATGAAAGCCCACAACCTTCGCCTCCTCCGCGCGCTGCCTCGGCACACAGCTTGAACAAGGGCCAACATGAACAGGCTTGTAGCACCTTAAAAAGCCTTGAAAACCTACTCAATGACTGTCAAAACAAAAGTAACCTTTGTATAGATGTACGTCTAGGGTTGCCAGGGCATGAACCGAGCTTCCCCCATCGCATGCGATCTTTTTCGGAGCTTTTTCTCACCCCGCTTTCTCGCTAACGCCCTGACGCCGCCTAAAGCCCTAAACCCGAAAGAGCTTCGTCACGCGAACTTACGTTGTCATTGCAGAAAGTGCGCGCAAGTTAGGGCCAAGTAGGGGTTTTAGGGCTGGTAGAGTAGCACACAATCTACTCGACAGGCTAGACCGCCCCGCAGAAGCCATAAGAAGCCTTTTTTTCCTCCACCGAATTGAATTATGAGTCATACAAGCTTGTACTTGCAATTCCTGGGTTGTAAAAAACCCTCATAGCCCGACACTCTAAGCCCTACCACCCTACCACCCTGAACCCTAAACTGCCAAAGCCCTACCACCCTAAGTAATGCAGTGCTTGGGGCACTCCGCTTGATGGATCTCTCCGAGTGAGGATGGACTCGGCTAGGGAAGAGGCTCGAACTGCAACCTTCAGGCAATTGAATTGCCTTTTTAGGGGTTTAGGGTTGGTCATGAGTACTGTCTTGTGGGTCAAGCTGGGCAGTAAGGGCAGCAGCAGAGTCCCTTGTGAAAAAAGGGATTTAGGGTTTAGGGTTTAGGGGTTTAGGTGTGGGAAGTTAGGTCAGGGTGTAGGGGTTTGGGGTTGTTTAGGGGTTAGGGTCTGAAGCCTCGAGGTCTGGCGGTTTAGGGCGCTTTTTTTTTTTTTAGGATTTAGGGCTTCGGGTGTACGAGGCTTTGGCTGCTGAGGCTGCAGGCACCGAGCTGAAGAGTGATAGGAACTGAAGATATACATGTACATATACATACATACATATATATATATATATATATAGAGTTACACATATACATACATACACACACACACACACATATATATATATATATGGGCTACTGGACTGCTTCCTTCGACCATGCCGAATAAATTTGTCTTCTGAAAAAGCTACACATATGTGCCATGACACGCCTCAGACGCACCGCAAACGCTTCGATGTTCGCACTCTTTCGGTTTTGAGCTGCCTAAACCCTAAACCCTAAACCCTAAACCCTAAACCCTAAACTGGATCGAGTGGTCATTGAATTTCGGGCTCGGACTTGTGGTTTACGACTTGTTGGAATTCTTGTTGGCCACGCGGAAAGGCCTTGAAAGTGGGTAGAAATCAGACAAGCCCAAAGCAGTTCCTGTTTGTGTTGTCCGTTTCTGGATTATGGCGGGGTACTAATCATAAGGTTGCAGGTAAAAGCGGGAATGAGATTCAAGACTATGGGTAACCGCTTCAGGTTTAGGAAAGCCTAAGCCATCATCCTTCCGCCGTTCTTCCCCACAGGTCCCAGCCCAACACCTCCAAGCCCGAAGCTTCAGCAAAGCATGGGCTCTCCTAGGAATTGTTGTTTTTCATGTCTGCTGGCTGTTCAAAGCAACGTCTTTATGAGGCGTTTATCCAAGGGGCGCTATAATCTGAATCCTTCGATCCTCCTAAAGCCGAAGCCTTGCCACGAAGACTCCAGGCGCCCGCGAACGTGGTCAACTTCAAGTCCCAGGGGAGTCGGAAGACTTACAAGTTCCAGCGATCTCTCCAGCCTCAGCGGTCTTTGCAGTTCGAGGACTTCAGGGCCCCCCCCCCTCCGTGTCTCCTAGGGTTTAGGGTTTAGGGTTTATTGTGCTTTACAAGATCAGGAGTCATAGTAGGTAGGGTCCTGCGACTGTTGATCAAGGTGAGAAGCGATATTCGCCTCATTCGTATCTCTACTTACTCCGACCCGTGATCCTCTAAGTAGTGTGAACTATGCAGGCTAGCGGCCTGCTACTGCTGCTACTGGTACTATCACCGCCTCCTACTACTACTACTACCACCACTACTACTGCTACTACCACTACTACGACTACTACTACCACTACTACTACTAACAATAATTATCGTAATGGTAGTTTTTGCCACGCACTTAGTAGCAGCAATACTAGTGCTAGTACATGTACTAGTACTAGCACAGTACCGGTAGTATAGTACCACCGTACTAGTACTAGTACTTCGAGTAGTACTGGTACAAGTACTAGTACGGCTGCTACTACTATTACTACTACGACGACGACTACGACTACAACGACTACGACTACAACGACTACGACTTGCTACTGCTACTGCTATAACTTTTATTTTATTCTGGACGACTACTACTACCACGACGACGGCCACTAACAGGTACTGCCACTACTACTATCAACAATACCAGTGCCAGCGACCACCACCAGCAACAACAACGACAACAACAACCACGACCACAAGTACAACCACACAGCCACGACGACCACGACGACGACGGCAACGACACCAGCCATAGTCACAGCAGTAGCAATGCGAAGCCTGGTATGCGCGACTCACCGGAAGAACAACCACTACTACGACCACATCAAGAAGAAAGGGAGCTTGACAAAGGCACGACTCATCCAAGACACCTCCTCGAGAGCTCGGACCTCCACGCGCGTCAGTCGAGAGAAGCGGCCGTTCACTTTGATCCAATCACCTGCCATCGTCATCGTCTTTCGGTTTTCTTAAAGGTCCTGGTGGCGCCCCTGGGCCCACTGCGTTCAGTGCTGTCTCTCGTTGAGATCTGGAAAGGAGCCTAAGCATATGCTTGTGGAAGGCAGGAGTTCGCGCCTGGATGCAATGTCTCGGCCAAACACGCTTGCGCAGTTGAGGCGGCTTCCTGCAAAGAACGCTCAAGTTTGTCCGGAAGCCCGGGATCCAATTTCATCTCAAGAATCTGGTGGCCTTAAGTACCTCATGACCTTATGTCATCTGCCAATTGAATCCCTCAGGCCCCGCAGCGACTCAGTTGTAACACGAAGGCAGCCGCAGGCCTCCTGCAGTGGGTCTCCCGCAGCCGCAGACAGGAGCAGCTGCTGGCCCGCAACGCGCAGCATCCTCAGATCCAGGAGACGAAATCGCCCGTTCTAGGAAACACAAAACCGGCTGTCATGATAGACTTAAGGCTCAGAGCTTCAAGGCTTCGAGCTAGAAGGGCGTGCGGGGGGGGCAGACTCGAAGAGAAGGGAAAAAGCACACGGCCGTTTTGCCGCACTCTGCCTCTGCTCTTTCGCTGCCTTTCTCTCCGGACGGTCATGCTCAGAGCTCCGATGCTAGCTGGATCGACGCCTGCAGAAACGAGACGGGCTCGGATGGCTCAGGCTCGTGATGTTCCTGCGTTGTTTGCACTTCGTAGTCAAACACTCAACAGAAAGAGAAACAGTTTTACAACACCAGTCAAAGGTTTCCAGAGAATTTAGAGCCTTGCTGAAAGCAGTCATGTTTCGAAGACGAGGCCAGGCAGATCAACGTGTGGAAACTCCATGTCCGGGATGGGCTTGCCCAGGAAGTGCGCCAGCGGCGCCCAGCCGTCGGTAAAGTTGTACCTACGTTCAATGCTGTCAGGAACAATATGAGGGTTCCAAAAATAGGGTACCCTAATATAGTACCCTATATAATAGGTTCCTTATTATAAGGACCCCAAAATAGGGTACCCTAATTTTCGGAAACTCCCATATCCAAAGGTCCCAAACCAGGACCTTGGCACCTCCAGAGTACCTGCCCTAAAACCTGTGGTGCCTTGGTCTGCAGAAATATCCGAAGAACAAGGGCACCAATCTCTAGATTGTCTAGATACCACGGAGGCTTGAAGGTTGAGGACTTTGCAGTCTTGGGATAAAACTGAACACCGCCTTGGCTCCATCCACATCAGAAAGCTATTCCCTAAACTCAAAAGACTTAAACCGCTTAAACCTATGAAGCCTGAACCCAAACTCTCCTATGCAGGATTGCAGCAAAAGGACACAAGGAGCCGGTCAGCGGGGATGACTTGCTGCACCCGCTCGTTGTGCTGCTGGTAAGCCTTCCACTTTTAAGGCGCTGTGTGCGATTCATGTCTTCCTCGTCTGCAGTTGTCATGGTTATCATTTTCTCGTGCCTTTTCTCTTGCTGTTTCTTTCTTTCGCCAGGGCTAGGGCAGGAGGGTTGCCCCCCTTGCCTCTTGCTCTCTCCGTCTCTCTCCCTTTTTACTACGTTCTGCAGCTTCCTTTCCTTTTGCTCTTGTCATGCACATCTTGTTCAGAAGGTTCCTTAAGTCTCTCGGCGCAGGCTCAGGCAGCTCGCACTCAGGACTGCAAGATTTCTGTCTCAGCGCGCCTCCAGACACTGCTTTTTCGTGTCCTTTCCGGTCTCGTTGCCAAAGTCGCAGCCCCAGTAACGCGCAGCTGTGCACGTTGTCATCAGATCGCTGTCGAGCCAAGAGTTAAAGGATCGGAGATTTTTTTTGCCTCCTACTCGGAGATGACGGCCAAGGGTTTGATTCTCCCGAGCCTCCCGAGTCTCAAACATACCTGCAATCAGCTCAGTATAGCTCTCGTACCAGCGTTCGGGCTCCGAGATTGTCAAGACAAACTTCGTCTTCGGGAAGGCCCGCATGATCTCCTCGTAGACGAGTTGGAAGGGCTCGTCCATCGCGGCATCGTAGCCCTCTAAGGTGGCCATCGCCTCCTCCAGCGAGCCATTGGCAAACACGTACTCACACCACGGTGCTCGCTTCAGAAACGAATAGCCGCTATGCAGCGTGTTGAGGCCGAGAATGTTCAGTGCAACATGCATAGACTGAGTGCCTGTACGCGGTGCACCCACATCCAGTACTTCCAGTGCTGCTGAAGGGACGACGCACAAGAAAGCAAGCAGCAGCATTGCCACTGGTCGTTTACATGAAAAGTTCGGTTGGTTTTGACCAAAGATAGCTTGAGCCCCAGGTTTCACATGAGCAGATACAACACCTTCAAGCATGGCTCACAGTGATAAACATAGGCCGAGAGTCCGATCCTCCGTCCACAGCTCTATGAGCTCCACAGATCTCTGCGCCTCTGGGGTGTCGAGCACCTGACAGTGGATCAATATCGAAATCGACAAAAACACCCCCCGAAACTCTGGCCTCCAGCAAAGACTGGTCGTCAGAGGCCAATATCTGGGCTCCCTTCTGTAGGTCCTTGGCCTGACAGCTTGCACCATCGTCATCCGTCCTTGCTGGAAACTCGAACTCCTCGCTCGCGCCTGCAGGTACTCAAACGCCTGTCCGACCTTGGCCTTCAGCATCGTCCCAGCCGCAAAGACATTGCGGTCACTGCTCGGGACACAAACCTCCGAACGCAGCTTCGGGGGCTTTTCAAAAGGGGGCACTCTGCTATCGGCTCATGGGGACAATCGGGGACTCGGAACTGCCAAGACACCCAGGAAGAAACGTCACTGCAGGCATCGCAGTCTGCCGCAAGCCCATCGGGGACCATCTCTGGGTAGCCTGCCTGGCCTCCGGGACAAGCTGAGGTGAGCTGTCAATCTACCTATGTTTCTACTTCTATCCAACAATCCGGCTAGTTGTCTATGCAGCTATCTAGTTCAGTCTGTCGGTTTATCTATCGTTCTGTCTATGTTATGTCTTTATCTAGTATGTAGTCTACAGCCTCTGCAAGTCCCTACCCAAAGCAAGGAGGCGGGGCTTTATTGAGGGACTGGGCGGCAAAGACAGCGTCGTGATTCACGGCTGGGCGGTAAAGAGAGCGTCGTGATTCACGGGACCGACTGCACGATCAAAGTGAAGCTTGAAAAAAACCAGCCTCGAAGTTGGTCATTCTCCTCATGCAGCCTGTCAGCACGCTGCTGTTGCAGCTGGGCTTGCTCCGCAAGCGTGGCGTTCTCCCTCTGCAACTTCACCTGGCATCCCCAGCAGGAGCATCGAGAACTCCCAAGGGTCGACAAAGAGAACTTCGGCTTTGGCGAGGCACAAGCCTTTCTTTCTTCTGCAGCACTTTCTGAAGATCCATTGTTCGATACTGCCGATTAAGATGTACCGAACGAGTTTAAGATAGTGCAGGGTATCAGTGGGAATCCGGCTACATGAGTACTTCATATGTCTTGCTCTTTGTGAGCTCGCTCGCTCGCTAGCTTGCTGACTCTATCCTCTTCTTCAGCACAAACACAGGGCGAGTGTTTCTTTAACAGGGCCTTGGGGCGAGCCCCCCGTGTGGAGGCAGGCCCTTTGTTGGCTGTGGGTCTCCCCCTCTCAACTAGCTACCTATTCGTCTATCTGGCAGGCGGGATATCGAGATCACTGGCATCTCAATGTATCACGAGAACACTACATGGAAAACACTACGCAAGACTGCAACTCGCTTGCCCATCACGTCAAAGTTCTGCTTGGCCAGACATGGAGGGACTTGCTAGAAGAAGGCCAGCACAAGATGCTCGAGCGCTACAAAATCGCAAACCCTCAGTGGGCCCATTGCCTTTCGAAGGTTTTGAGCAGGTCCTATTGCACTGCTCGTTTACTCTGGCTCGCGAGCCTTGACGGAGCCACCACAAACCTCATGCAAACCCTAAGGCCTGTAGCCTGGTGCAAATTCGATTGCACTACCCCCCCCCCCCAGATCCCAAGAAGCCTAGCATAAACCCGAGCTGTGACCCGAGAACTTCGCTGTGGGTCACATTCTCTGCTCGCAGCTGCTCGATCGTCGACTCCTGGGCCATCCTTTGCTTCTCCAGCCATCGCTCAAGCTGATCCTTACCTGGGCAGCTTAGGCTCGTGAGGTGTAGGTCGGGCTCAGGGCAGATCGCACTTTTTTGGATCGGAGGGCTTGAGGCCTTAAGGATTTGAATGGCTTTATGATGCTGCAAGTCGCAAGAACAGTAGACAAGAGAAGCTAAGCAATTGAGCCCTCCAGGGTCCTTGGGCTGTATTCTACGGGAATATTTGCCCCTACTGTAGGCAGCCCTAGCCCCCATGCTCCATTTCTGGGTTGACCCCGAGACAAGTGCTTCACGTCATGCAAAAGTGCTCAGTGCAACGGCATCAGTGTACTCACGTGATGCTTGCTGCCGACCAATTTTTAAGGCTGTACAACAAGCCTCCGCCCGTCTGCTTCGACGCAACTCGGTCTCTGCGTCCTAATGCCCGCCAGGGTGCAGGATTCCGCTGCACTGGTCTGATGCCGGAGCGCTGCACACCTGGGATGATTCCTACCAGTAGTGCACAGACGCACTACTGTGGAGTGACTTCATTCATCTGTGCTTTTGCTTGTTACATCACGCGTGCTGCGTCAATAAGAACCCATGGAACGTACGCATGCCGTCCTGCCTGCCCACCTGTTGCTTGGCTCATCCACGAGTACATGACGGTACATGCACATGCACGGACACCTGCACATCCGCACGTGAGAGGTGGGCGGGGATCGATGACTGAAGGGCGGCCCAGGTGCTGCGTCTCCAAAGACTCCACGGACTGCTCCAATCCGGCCTCTTCAAACAGGTAACTGGCTTGCAGTCTGTTTTTGAAATCTGAGTGGATGGAACTTGAAATGAAGGATAGGCTCTTCCGTTCCCGAAAGCTCCCAACCGCCTGCGTCTGCAAGAGCTTCTGCATCTCAGGAAGACAATCCGCACGTCCCAAGGATGCTTCGACTACATCTTGCCTGGGCGAGACTGTCAATGCGGGCCAAGGCACTGCTTCACTCATCTTGTCGTTCCAGGACTCCGCATCTGCCAGCTTGAACTCCAGACGTCGGACGCGTTCCTTCAGGCGGTCCTCGCTTCTTTCGAACTCCGAAGGAAAGACGCATCTTGCAAGACTCTACTTCGACCTGTTCGGTCGGCTCCTCGGTGGCATTGGCCATGACCTCCTCTGCCTCAGGCGCTGCACCGGGACAGAGCCTAAGATCCGCTTTGCACAGCCGCAAAGCTTCCCACCTGCTTTGGAGACTGGAGCTCTTCCAGTCGTAGCAGCCTCAACTGTTCATGTTGGCTTCACCTTCAACCTCGGCCTTTGGAAAAGAGAAGAAATCTGACCACCCCCCCCCACTCCCCCGGCAATAATACTACTTGCAGTAAGTAATAACCATACAGCGAAAAAACAAGGCCACTACCAATAGCACCACTACGACTACTACTACTGCTACTACTACTACTACTACTACTACTACTACAACTACGACTACGACTACG